GAGTATGAAGATTTCTGTCTTCTGGGTTGTTGCGCTGTGTAGTCTGGTCGATGTTAACGAACGTTTCAGAGGTCATACTGCCTCCATCATCAGAGTATGAAGATTTCTGTCTTCTGGGTTGTTACGCCGTGTAGTCTGGCAGACGTTTCAGAGGTCCTTGCTGCCCCCATCATCAGGGAGATGACTAAGAATATAGCCCTGATGATGGTAGCACCAACGACGTCTGAAACATTTGTAAATTTAGACCAAAAACCAATATAAATTTCCACGCGGACCATGAAACGAAGGTTAAAAACGAGAACAAAGCCATTTTGCAAATAGAGCAGAATTCATTTTGTAATTTAACACAAATACATCTCAAAGAGTAAGTCCCAGGGGACTTACAGACAGTTTCTCCAAACCAAGCGACAATGAAGTGATCTTAAACTGTTAAAAAATCTTCCGTTAGCAAAATTCCGAGTCACAAACGAAGCCTGAGACGGAAAAATCCACTTTCGTGTCTGCTCACGGACTGGAAGACAGAAGTTCGATGCCTGAAAGGGGCAAAGAGTTTCCTCCCAGCCATTGTTTCATACGAGCACTGAGATCCACAGACTCTTTTAAGCAATTGCTACCGGAAGAGGTTAATTCTGCGGAGTTAAGCCCGGCTTCGGTGTCAACGTGACACTTCCCCCCATCTAGGGCCGGGGCGAAGAATCAACGGAGATATACCTCCGCTCCCCCTCACCGAAGATCCAACAAGGCGTGTAATTGGAAGGCGGCGATCTCTTTAATATGGAAAAGAATTCAAAATTGTTGGGTTAACTGACTCAAATTCCAATGGCGAGATTTGTAACAGCGAACTTCGTATCAAAATGTCGAGGTGAAGCCGTGAAGAAGAATTTGGTTGACGGGAAATTATTTACAATCGACATTTCGCTAATTTTATCTTTTTCGACCGAGGAAAGATGCATTCCCATAGTTACTGATTTCAAAATAGTAGATTTACGAATTTGAGTCAGTTAGCCCAGGAATTTTGAATTCTTTTCCATATTAAAGAGATCGCCGCCTTCCACTTACACGTCAAGGTCACTGTTAGCTTTTCTGTGATGCGTGGGAGGTGAAATCTCGCGAGGGACACAGAAGTAATTTACATTTTCACTGTATAATTCTGTATTGGCAAAATGTTTTTTTGTGTGACGTCTTCTTGGTGTTGAAAAGCACTGCCAAGGCAAAATGCCAGGCTTATCGAAGTGCATAGAATTTTATGAATTTTGAATGGTGCACAAAATATAAACACAACTAAAAATTCAAAATATTGATCTGAAGAAATTGTGTACATTGTGTGTGGTTTTAATAACAAGAACATATCCAGTTTCTTTATCTGAGGTTATTAAAATATTTATAACAATGGGTGAGAGGAATGGTTTCGTATTAAGTGTTTTCCAGCAAGTAACATCCTGTGGTCATGAAAATTGTTCTTTGATTTATATTTTAAATTGGCAATTTGTGATTTAGAGTTCACTTCTATATGATTAGGTGTCATTTTATTGAGATAATACCAATTTTATTCTAATTCAAAAAGGTTTATGTTCGTTCTGTGTTGTAACAACAATGAATATTTTTATCAGCTGTTCTGTGACAACGTTTTGGAAATAATATTTTCCTACTCTGATCAGAGAAACTAAGACAATCGATAATGTTCGTAATAATATTTGTGTAGAGTAACATTAATTTAATATCGTATCCACTAAGACACTATCCTGGCGTTTTCTTGGAAGGACTGAGGAAAACCACGAATAAAAAACCAGTCAGGATAGCCGGTCTCGGAGCTGAGATTTGAACTTTCCACATTGTCCTCATTGGCTGTAAGTAAAACTTTGTGTAAATGGAAGGTTGAATATCCTTCAAAAACATCGCAGTCTGCTGTCTAAATTTGTTACAGGTTAGCCACCTGTGGCTGGAAATTCCCAGTACATATCACCAGCGGATGTAGCGGGATTTTGGCGAGCTGTGGAGACGGAATGGTTTTGGTATTTGTTCTAAGGTTCTACACCTGCATTCGCCTGGAGGGATTAATGAAAAACACGAGTTAGGACAGCTGATGTGCAGCCCAAGATTTCAAACTAGGATATCTGGAGTATGAAACGGAGGTGGTACATGCTTTTAATAATGAATTATTTAATCACTAACACAGAGCGTTTCTGTGTAAAGTTTTGTCTAAATATCTGTGTCGTGAGTTGTTAAATTTATGTGTTGATTCTTAAGGATTCTGACGATGGTGTAATACACTCTGGATTATTGGCTTTTCGGTCTTTGTCCATTGTTTTTATAAGAAATGCAACATCGAAACGTTGTGTTTCTCATAACTACATATGATGGACAAGGTCCAAAGATTCTACAATCTAAAGTAATATGTTTCTGTTTTGTATATTTCTTGGACATTGAGGTTAGCTGCATCCAGTGCATGCAACAAATTAATTTCTATAACTTATTATTAACTGATGATGGAAGTAGAGTCAGCTTCCGAAATGTTCTGTTTAAAAAAGTGCAAAGGAAAATGTCAGAATATAATTATAAGTTTAAGAAAACGTCTTCATTGCATTGGGTACATTACTCACTTTAGTTACCATTAAAATATTAATTTACAGTTTGCTCACTGGTGTACTCATCAGTCCAATAACACTTGTGGTATTATAAGCCTTTTTATATTTTTTTATTCTAGTAGAAGTTTCAGAATATAGGCCTCACAATCTCCTTACTGCTAAAATTGGCACTATTCCAGAAATGCACTTCAACTTTTGCATTTGTGTTAAATATCCATATTAACATTGGCAATAAAATTTTTATGGATGAATTTCAGTTCTTTGAAAGTGATAGTCAGATGTCCAGTCCATCAGTTTAATATCATTAAGCTTAATTTTCTGAAGTAGTAGGACTTTGGAAATGTAAATTATAAACTCACCTTTCTATCCGTAATAATTGAGAGTGGAAAAAACTTCTAGAAATGACTAGAATCTTCAAGTCAAGGGAAGATCATCTTATAAGGGAAATCACACAAGTACCACTTTTCCAATAGCAGTCTTGACATAGTTTGACAATATAAACAGGTCTCTTAAGCCTCTGCAGAAAACTCGCCCACATAACATTTAATAATTCAGTCAGTACCTCAAAGACAACACAACACTTTACCATTAACTAACAAACTAACTAGATGGCTTGGGGAACGTGAAGGTTCATCAC